TTTTCATAATTAATTTGAAACATGGAAGTTTTCTGTGTCACAATGGAATCATATTTTTAAAAAGAAAATAATTATAATATTTTGCTCTACTGTTTGTATCGAGCACCCGTTTTTTAAAAATAAAAATAACTGCTCAGAACACCGGATTATAAATCTTACTGTTTTTTTTATTATTTTATTATATATATATATATATATATATATATATATATATATATATATATATATATATAATGGAGAGTGATAGAAACACTGGACAGGTATCAACACTGCAACATGAGACTATTTTATATTTAAAATGCTCTATTCACAATATTGCTCACTCTTCTGTCATAAATAGAGAAAACACACACACACACACACACACACACACATATATATATATATATATATATATATATCTGTATATATAGAGAAGAGGTTATAGTTGTTCCAATGAGAGAAAAGTGTATATTTTAAAGAGAAGTGAGAAGTTGCAAACATTATAATGTTGATTTTTTAAATGTATATTATACTTTATTTTATTTATATTATACTTTATTTTATTTTCTAAATATATTTTTTAAATATATATTTTCCTTTATTTTCCATATTTTCTGAAAAATAAAGTATAATATATATATAAAGATCTACATTATAATCAAAAACGTTTGCAGCTTCTCTATTCTCTTTAAAATATATATATACACATTTCTAAGCTTGTGGATATCTAAATGCACAAATGACTTCCCCCATTAATATTTAAAAACACATGCTTATATTTTGTGCTATGAAGAATCAATGTAAAATGCCCAAGTTAGTAAAAGACACATTTATTTCCATGAAAAATTTAAACCAGAAAATGTCTTTGGAATGGATAAGATGGAATTTTCTGGTGCAAAAAATTTAGAAATAAATTTAGCCTATTTTGATATCTGTATATTGTGGCTGATACTTTTTCAATGGCATGCTTTAGCAGGGGCACTGGTAACAGACCTGTCTCAGTTGCTACTTGGAGTAACTTCTAGATCATTGTTTTTATTATATGTTTAAAAAATAAAGATTGGGTTGAAGAAATCATATATTCATGTCTTTCTTCTTCCTCACACACACACACACACACACACGCACACACACACATATATATATATATATAATAAAATATAGTTTTAAGATATGCTATCTTTATGGGTTAAAGTGCTCAATATCAGGGATGGAGCATATGTAAATATAAATGATCTGGCAAGAATGTCTAGCATGAAACTGTCACTTCTGGGTGTTGAATTCACTGTCCACTTATATATATATATATATATATATATATATATATTAAAAAATGGACAAGGTCCGACAATTTATTTATTAAAGACATTTTTTTATGTTTAACGTTGTTATTTATAGATACAAGTATTTAAGTAAATGCTCTGTTTATGATAAATAGTATTAAATAACATTTACCGGCCTTAAATACTTGTATCTATAAATAACAACGTTAAACATAAAAAAATGTCTTTAATAAATAAATTGTCGGACCTTGTCCATTTCTTAATATATGACGTCATTTGTTTACATTTGATACGCCAGAGCAGTTATGAATGTATGAGATTCATGGATGATTAAAGTTTATAAGCAGTAAATTCGACCTTGTCTACCGAAAAGGTTCTTTGTGGCCCAGAGGTAAGGCACGTCAGCGTAAATGACGGTTCTGTATAGGATGCAGGTTCGAATCCTGTCAAAGAACGAATATTTTCTATGAAAATTTCTCGGACATTCAGGCTGGTAAATGTTATTTAATACTGTTTATCATAAACAGAGCATTTACTTAAATACTTGTATCTATAAATAACAATGTTAAACATAAAAAAATGTCTTTAATAAATATATATATATATATATATATATATATAGTATTCATTTATCTCACCAGATAAAGGGGTACACTGTTTGGTCATAATTCAGTTCCTTGTTAGTGAGACTAGACCGACCTCTCTATGACACAGGACTGGGCGATGGATACAGATGCTCTATCTTCAATATTGAACATATTGAAACACTGGTTTCGATACAATCACTGAGCTTAAGCAATGTCAAGCCTGGTCAGTATCTAGATAGATGACTACTTGGAAATATCAAATACTGTAAGCTTTGATGGGCGGGTAGTTTAATGGATAGTGGCTTGAAATTGCTAATCGGAGAGCCAATTTCTAATTCTGATTGAGTTCGTTGTGTTTACTTACATGCAAATACCACTGGGAAAGGTATGAATCCACCTCTTCTCCCCTCAGCTATGGGTTAATTAGTTAGACTTGTATCATTTATCCATTATTATCACCTCACCCCAATCAATAATGAACACTGTTCCTCAAAATATAATTTAAATTTACAACTACAAACGTGCAAATATATATATATGTATCATTTAGTACATATACACATACCTAGGTTTTTTGGCATGTGACTATAGTTTTGCTGGGTGGTGTTCCCAGTTTGTCAGGTATGGGGTCTGACAAAGTGGAAACACCACCCAGCAAAACTATAGTCGCGCACCAAAAATGTAGGTATGTGTATATATACTAAACAATACATATATTTATATTACTAATTAATACATATCGTTGCTCTGTATAACCTCATGCATAAATTTAACGATTATTTATTTGCTTGCCTGCGTATACACACCAGCATATGCATACACAACTGCTTATATTTGGGCATTTCATTTATCCACTCTACAACTTTATTTATATATATATATATATATATATTTATATATATATGGCTCTTTTCTGAATTGGTTATATATTTTGAATTTTCTGGTCTGGAGTAGTGAGCACTGTCTGTCTTGGTGTAGGTCACTCTTGGTTTCTTTATATATAACATTTTAAACAGTAAGACTTACTGCAGAAATATTAGTATTATCTGACATCTGGCTTAATAGTCTATCCTACACATATTATTACTCTCAAAATATCTTGTCCCATTGGATTTTGATAAGAATAGTGTGCCTCTGTGTCTGATATATATATATATATATATATATATATATATAGATGTGCAATTGGTATCAGAAATACTGGCTTGAAAGAAGAAATAATGAGCTAAGTTTGAATTCCAGTTGAGAAAGGGAAAATACATCTCTTGGGGGAGGTATGAATACATCTCTTCTCTCTCCATCTATGGGTTAAATAGTCAGGCAGACCGGGCTTTTCAACCTGTCAGTGAAGCTGATGCCAATTATCATGAGCATTATTGTAGTTGATGTTGAGAGAGTGTTACTCATGTTGTTCAAGTGTCTGCCGCCATAATCGCTATGAATAGTTATTTTCTTACATGTAAGAGAGTGAGCATGCATGAAATCAGTCAGGTAGTCATTTTATATATATATATATATATATATATATATATATATATATATATATATATATATATATAACCTTTTTTTAGTGTGTATAAGTATGAGCAGTATTGGAAAAGTTAGGTGTGTATTCTAAAATTATAACACGTGTCCATCCTATTCCATTGCTTAAAGGACTTGTTACACACCCAGTTATTCATTGATGATAGACATTAGTAACTTCAAAGCCAGTTCTGTCTGTTGTGTGTCATAGTTTTGAAAGCTTTCTATCTCATTCAAACTTTGTATAGCTTTTAAATGACCACTTTAGTTTTCAGCTGTTATATTTTATGAATTGTTTCTTTTAGTGTCTCAATAACTGATCATCATAAAAATATATAATCATAAACATACAGAAAAATATATATAAAAGTGGACACTGAGGTCAGCACTGAAAAGCAAAATCTGTTTCATGCTTGAATGTAATCTTCAGGCCATGATAGCCTGAAGATTGCGTCGTTCATGAAACAGACTGTAGCTGTTTTGTATTGAACTCCATGTCCACTTTCATATAAACTATCCCTAATATTGAACACTATTATCCATAAACATAAAAATACTATAGAACTATATTCTTATCATTAAATATATATATATATATATATATATATATATATATATATATATATATATATATATATATATATATATTAATAAAATGAAAATGAGTTACATGCATCAGTACTTGGAGTTTCCTGGCTTTCTTACATATAATCTTTGATAGATTTCTTGGTGAACTTTATATATATATATATATATATATACACACACACACACACACATGAATGGAAAAGGAACTAAGTGTTGTACAGTCATTCTCATGTTGTGTTTTTAATTTATTTATATATATATATATATATATATATATATATATATATATATATATATATATAGAGAGAGAGAGAGCTATTTATATTTAAATTTTAAAAAAGTTAGAAAAGACAGCAGTAATAGATTATATATTGTTTGGTGAGAGAAGTTAGCTAAATACTGCACTATGGTTGGTGTTCATTTGAACATATGCATATAAGTAAACATATGTATAATATTTATCTTGAATTTTCCAATCTTTATGGTAGTAGGAAGACCTAATATCTCATTGTTAGAAAGGAAGTGGCCAACTATCCACACATGATTTCATTATCACTTTGAAAACTTGAGTAGAAACAGTCACACTTTTCAAAAGATAAGGAAGTAATGATGCCTTATATGCCACAAAGTCTCTTAACAGCCCCTTCCTCAGGTATGAAGTCAGAGTTTTCTTCCTATTAGACTGTTTTCCAGTCAAGGCTAGAGAGTACAGTCTACCCTGCTATTTATCTATGGGGAGATGAAATGTACATATGCTCTTGCCTTGATTGGTTGGTTGGTTTTTGTTTAGTAGCTTATCAACCTCTATTGATTATTTAATGCCAAAATGTAAATATTTTGTACGCAATTTCTTTTTTTAATAATAATGGTTTCAGTGATAAAAGTCTGACTAATTAACCCATAGTTGGGAGGGGAAGAGGTGGATCCATACCTTTCCCAAGGGTATTTGTTCATAACGAACAAAGCTGATATTCGAACTTAGATCTTCAGTTAAAAATTCCAAGCCATTATCCATTACATCACCTACACATCCAAGCTTACAGCACCTGCTATTCTCAAGCAGTCACCCATCTAGGTCCTGATCAAGCTTGATGTTGCTTAACTTTGATGATCATATGGGAACCGGTGTTTCAACATGATGTGACTGTAAGCTGATGCTCTTGGGAAAGAGTATTTGTGTGAATGCTATTAATAATAATCACTACACTATGCACACATCTAATATATATATATATATATATATATATATATATATATATATATATATATATATATATATATGTATTTTTGCATATTTAGGTGCATAGGTATTTAGTTATATTCTTTTTAAAAATTGTATAGTTGTTTGTATTGCTGGTATTTTTTTTTAAGTATTGCTGATAATAATTTTTCCTTCAAAAATTATTGCTGGTAATAATTCTTTTTGTACTACAAAGTATTTCTGCTATTAAAACCTAATTTTACATAAGTTTGGGTGTTAACTATTTTCCCATAGTTGGGACTTTAACAGGTGCTACCACCCCGGGTCAGGATGGACCTGGGAACACCAGCAACTAAGAGGTGGTTCCATGCTTCTCGTCTTACCATCTTACCCAGGATGCAGATGTAGTTTATCGTCATACCCAGGATGAGTAGTTATATGTGGTACTTTTTGGGATAACCAAATAATGACAGAAATAATCTCCATTTGTTAAGCAGCAAAGAAATCTATTGCATATCACTCAGTTGGGTTTGATGAATGCCACTGATGCTAACATGATAAAATTTGAATAATTCAGGAAAAAGGATATTTCTTTTAATTTGCTCAACTTGCTCACCACATCAAAAGTATTATCCTTGTTTTCAATTTGCCATCATAAAAGATTCTAAAGAAAACTGCCAATTAGTTTTAGGATTTTGAAAGGAGCTTGTTTCTGGCCTTTTGTGCTTGAATTTCAGCATTGTATTTTGGTTTTAACTGTGTTTTGTATATGCCGTATTATGTTTTCAAGGGAAGGATGATAAGAATGGAAACTCATCAGATCTAAGAAAGCCAGAGGGATAAAATACTGCAAAATCTAACAAAGTAAGAAATAAAATGAAAATTGATATAAAGGATATAAATTTTAAAAGAAAAGAAACCCTAAGATGTAAGTCTGGAACAAATAAATAAGGAAATAAAATCAAACAAACAATAAGCAAAAAATAATGAGAAAGTATTTTGGGATTTAAAAATTATCACTCATGTTCACCACATACAAGGCCCAAGAACCATTCAAAGTATAGGGTTATTGCATGGTGTTGTATGAGCTTAAGAAAAAGCAAGAAGTGCAGTTCATAAGTTTATATAGTGAAGATAATGGTTAACTCAAAGCAGTCAAGATTGTAGTAATTGGAAATACATTCTGCTGGGTGTCTGTTCCCCAAAGCAGAATTCCTTGAACTGTGCAATGTCTCTTCATGTCATAGGTGGCCATGTTATTCTTTAGCCTCATCTTTTCTTGCTCATATATACTTGATCCTTTCTGACTTTTTCCATTATCCATTGCTGCTAATTTGCCAAGTAGATTAGTTGCCATTTTCTTCTGTTTCTTTTGCTTTCCACGTATTCTGCAAGTGTAGAGTCAACCCTTAATTTTCTTCAGTCATAAAGAATTGTTGCACTTACTTGCCTTAAACATCTGTTGGGACTAAGGTTCAATGTAGATCTCAAGTGGATCTCATATATATATATATATATATATATATATATATATATATATATATATATATATAAAATTATGTTGCAAAATTGGTTGGTTCCTTCTGCTGCTCTATCTTTACAACAGCCAGATAAGACCAAAAATGAAGTATTGCTGCCATATCTGGGCTGGAGCTGTTTTGGCTCATTCTATCACTCATTCTATCACTCCAGAAAGTCCCTGACTTCTTCTGCCATGCTTTATCTTTACAAGAATCAGATTAGCCCCAAAATGGAGTATTGCTGCCATATCTAGGATGGAGCTGCACAATACTCACATTCAAACCTTGACAGAGTTTAAAAGTGTTTACACTAACTTGTGGATGATGAAAAAAGCATTGGTTGAGTAATCCAAAAAGTGACATGACCCAAAGAGTTGTGAGTTCAATACCTGACCACAGCAGAGGAAACAAAAACTTGGAGAGTTGAAAGGGAATTAACTGATAATGAGAGTTAAAAAAAAAAGGTATGGCATGTGGAACTAGAACAATCTATCCCCATGGACTAAATAAAGGGTTCAGTTTGAAATTCCAATGTATATTACCTGAAGAAGTTTGAAGCGTACAATGACCAGCATGTTGTAAATATGGCAATAAAGATGAGGACAATAGTCCAAATGATGAAAATAGTGTAAATAGCTACATTTCTTAGTTCCAACATTTCAGACATTTACAGCTAGGACCTGCTATGTCACATACACAGAGTCAATTCATACTTGTTACCTTTGGATTCCACTGGTTAGAAAGAAATTGAATTCAGACAGCTTCTCCCTGAGAATCACTACTCCCTGATTAATACAATTTTAACCCCTTCAAGTCTAAAGTCAAGCATTACCTATCCTATATATCCTTATAATCTGCACTTACGCTCTCCTATTCTTTCCATATAACAACTTCTCTTTTATCAATAAAACAACCTAACTCGGTAACCTTCTATTTTGGAAGGCTCTCGGGACTTGTATTACATGAACATTTAGAAACCTTCTCTCAAAAATATCAGTTATGTATTTCTCATTGCTATCAACTGTTTCTTTGTAGTTTCTATTCTCTTTTGAACTTCTTTATTCCTTATCTGGATATCAGTTATTTCCTGTTAATTCCCCTCTCCAAGTTCTCCACTGCCTTAACCCAGTATTGAACTCACACTGTCACTGGATCTAACCAACACCTTTATCCACTGTGCCAAGACCCAAAGAGTGTGAGTTTAATACTCAGTTAAGACAGTGCAGAACTTGGAGAGGGGAATTAACATGAGATAACTGATAATTGATATCCATTAAACATGGCATGTGGAACTAGAATAGTCTACCCCAGCGAGCAAAATAAAGGGTTCAGTTTGACATTCCAACCACCTGAAGAAGGCCAGAGCATGCAACAACCAAAATGTTGTAATAAATATGGCAACAAAGATGAGGACAATAGTCTGAATAATGTAAATAGTGTACATAATACCTCATCTCAGAAATATAGACAGATACTGGAGGAAACTTATACTTAACATCAGGAAGAGTCAGCTGAAATTTATGTAATGAGAAAGGAGGACTTGGAAAATCTGATACTCACAGGGCAGATAGAGGGAAAGAGAGACAAGAGAAAGAAACATTTGACATACTTAATGGTCTTAAGCAAGTGGATGGCAGAACAGGGTCTGAGAGAAATAACAAAAAGACAAAACTTATTGAGAGCAACAAGGGATAGAAGGAGGTGAAGAACCATGATTGACTGCATCCTAAAAGAATACAGCACATAAAAGAAGAAGATGAAGTTAACATATCTTGCAAATTTTATACATATATTGTAGGAAGGAAAAACATGAAAGGATGAAAGAAAAGATTTGGTATTCAAATGAAGAATTATTTAAGAAGAGGAAGAAGGATTTTGAAAGGAGAATAAAACAAAGAATATAGCAAGAGCCAGCAAAGTGAAAGAAAAAGAAAAAAGTGGAGAAAGAACTGAAGAGATTACCAGAAGAATGAAGAGGAAAGAAAAGGAAAATATGAGAGGAAGGTGTGGAAGAAAGAAAAGATAGAAAACAAACTGGAGAAAAACTTGAGAAAAGAAAAAAAAAACTAGAATAAAGAAAGAAAGAACAAGAATAATCCATTTATGGGAGAAAATGAAACTGCTAATGAGTGGATTCTCTTTCCTCTCACACCATGATGCTGAATTTAATTACCTTACATTCATCGACTGGATATATCCCACAGTTCTTTGCTTTGGCATCCTCTCATATTTCATCATGACTATCTTATTTATAGACTGTGTTAAAGGTAATAGATTTTGAGTCATTTAATAAATAAATATATATATATATATATATATATATATATATATATATATATATATATATAAAGGAACAGAATATTAATAGGATATTAGAACTTATTTCCTTGAAACAGGTTGGTCATTTATATACTGATAGACTTTTAAACCTGCTTATATGTAATTAACTTTTTTATTTAAAAAATTCTTTTTCAAAACTATGTGTTTATATTACAAATTACAAAAAGATTAGAAAAATGTATATAAAAAAATAGCTTTTACTTTAAGTCAGGACAGAATTAAAATATTTTGTAATTCCTATACCAATAACTGAAAAGTTTGATAAGTTTATATTTTCAATTGAATCTGGAGAAAAGGTCAGAATCTAGTTTATATTCAAATGAATATTTTTTCAATCAACATAGAGTCTTAAGATTTTTGAAACCCAAGAACCTTGTGAACTGGTGCTACAAAATCACCAACAAAGAACTGCATCAAATGACAGAAACCAAATCACTAGAGGACTTTCAGCAGCTAAAATCAATATTACGCAAAGAGAAAATAATGACAAAATAAAAATTTTGATGTGCCACACTACTTCAAACAAAAGATTAGGAAAGACCCTACCATCAAAACAGGAAAAAGTGTTAACAGCTACAGGACTTGAGAAACCTATTTTATTGAAAAATTGTTTCAAGAAAAAGATATGAATTATTTTAACCAACAGATGTATTGGTTGTTTGGTCAATAAAATCTAAATGTTTCCTTATAAGGAAGCAGATAATATTAGCATATATATATATATATCTATATATATATATATAAATTTATGTTTATTGGACTTTAATTTACATTTAGTATCCTCCATAATTTACCTTGACTTTCAGTTTGCTAGTGGTATGTTTATGAGCATTCTTAAATTTTTAAATTCTTTAAAACTGACATTTTTACTTCTGTTTATAAATAAATTTTATTGCTGCAAAATAAATTACTTACATTTCCTTGATAAAATCCGTCAGAAGACAAAAATGCATTGGCAAAAGAAAGTTTTCCTTTGTCTTTATTCATAAATATATGTGTGTGCATTTATATATATATATATATATATATATATATATATATATATATATATATATTTCTTATTTTTGTTTATATAAATACAACAATT